CATTAACAGAGCCTGTACAGAAATGAGGGGCCCTTGTACTAGAAATGGTGGTGGAGGAGAGAAGAAGACTGATGTCTAAGACATTTAAAAGGCAAAAGCAATGGAACCTGATGGATTGAATAGGAGTGGTTAGGAGGGGGGTTCCAAGATGATTCTCCGGCATCTTTCTTGCCCATGCATCTAAATGTATAATGTTGCCATTCACTCCAATGGAGGTCCATGGAGGTACAAGGTTTTTGGTTGTGAGAGTTGATAAGATTAAATGAGATATGTTAATTTTGAGGTATATTTGAGATACCCAATAGAGATTGCAAAATAGGCCTTAACACACAGATCTGGAGGAGAGATCTAGGAAGGAAACCACAAACTGGGAGTCACTGGGAATGTTAAATTTTAAAAATAGGCCTTTGGCTATTATCTGTCTAATCCTGATTTCTAGGAAGTCAAATGAACATTTCATTTCACCTTGGTGACATGGAACTTCAGCATGATTCCATTCTGACTTTCAGCTTGGTCTATTGGGACCCATTATAGGAACTTAGTCCCAAACAGCAAAACAAAACAGACAACAAGGTAAAATTAAATGTTCATCTGACCTTCCTAGAAATCAGGATTAGAGAGATAATTGCTAAATTTCCTATAAAGTCCAGTTTCACTTGGTATGACAACGAGATTCTCTCTGCTTTAATCCTTACTAAAGAAGGTGACCTGAAGTAACCTGATGCTAACCAATCAGTTATTTCTCAGTTCTTCTCCTTGTCCCCACATTACAAGGAAAATAACTTCTAAATGACCCATCCAGTTTTTGTTTCTGCTTTGCTCTGTCCCTTTTTATCTATTAAAACCAACCACCTCTGCTAGACTCACTGGAACCCTTTTTCTGTTTTATGGAATGAAGTGCTACCTGGTTCTAGAAAATATAACCAATTCAGATCTTTAAATTGTTGTAATTTGGTCTTTTGACAAAATGTACATAGAAGTTTAAGACATTGATGTTGATAGGACCCCCAAGAATACAGTGTAAGTTGACCAGAGGGCCTCAAATTGAATTTTTAAAAGAAATTGAGCCAGTAAGATAGCACAGGCCTCTAATCCCTGCTAATTGGGAGGCTAAAGTTTGAGGATCACAAGTTTAAGACCAGCCTTGACAATTTAACCAGATCTCAAAATAAAAACAATTGAAAGAAAGAAAGAAAGAGAGAGAGAGAGAGAGAGAGAAAG